GGGGGGGGGGGGGGGGGGGGGGGGGGGGGGGGGGGGGGGGGGGGGGGCTACATATAACACAACGCATTAATGGCACTAATGGATTGAAGAAGAAAAAAACTCCATTTGTGTTCACTCACCTTCTGTAAAAGTACGTTTTCTTAAATATACCTTATATTACAGCTACTTTAAGCCCAAATAAATCCCAAGATCATGCATTTATCAGCCGACTGTTGTCGGGTACCTCATCGTTTCATCCAGATCTAGACTCAGTTGCGCTCCTCCGATGCGTAAAACTCTGAAAGTCAGCTGATGAAGCCGAAATGTTCTGTCTCACCAGGCGTTATGAAAAGGTTATCCTTTTGGTGATGGTTTAAGAAAAAAATAAATAAAAATAAAAGCTCCATGCGTTTCTCATCTTTGGTTTGGTTTATGTTTTGTTTTTTAAAACTGTGATTTAAAAACACTTTATTCATGCTCTTTCTAGTTACGGGTGTTTTGACTTCATTCCGTGAGGCAACTTTCACTTTCGTGTCAGTGAATAGTTTACAGTTCAGTCCCTCTAAGAGAGCAGACCGAGGATGAAAGCCATGCTTTCAGATTGAGTTCATGATGACGTTTTGAGTGATTGGTTCTTTGAATACAGTGCTGTTTTTATTTAATTTATTCTTTATTTTTTTCCTGTGAATGATGTGATCACCATTCTGTCAGCCCGATATGTCTGGATTATGCAGACCCACATTCAAACAGGCAGGCTTTACAAGACGGGCATGTGTCTAATAGGAATTGGCTTGTTCTTAAATAAAACATCCACATCTGCCACTGTTTGTTTGCAGATAATCCTTGCAAGTTATACAAATCAAGCACTGTAAATCACACAACTGCTAGTGTAGAACATGTATTTATAACATCCCTTTGTGGTGTAAAACCATCTCTTTATCTGTGTCAAATAAGATTAAGGGCAATATTTCTAAAAGAATTGGAATTCATCCTGGTTTAACAGCCAGAAAAACATTTGAACTGTTACTTACACAAAATCCCTCTCTTTCTCTTTCTCAATATCTCTATCATCCTAGGTGTAATTTCACATGTGTATTTGATATTTGAGCTAAATGCAGCCTTACATATTTAACGGCCTAGGCTGTTTTCTTTTATATACACTGCTGCTTAGATTTATTTCTTAATTTTGACCTTGTGTTCTTAAGTTCCTCTTTTGTATTTGAGTATTAGGGTACCTAAACCAAGATCTGAATGTTTTAGTTCCAAAAAAATCACAAGTCTCTATACCTCTGCCTACTACTAAATCTACTCTGGTTATGCTGACTTCACTGTGTCTATTTGAACAATGTGTGTGTTTATTCCTGTAGTGCAGAATGGGGCACAATGTACATTTGTCCTCTGAAAGTCTCACCGACACTCGTTCATGCTGTGTCATCCTATTTTTAGTGCAAACAT